TGACTATCACTCTCCAGCTCCCTTAGAAATTCTCGATCACCAGAAAGGAGAATCTCCAGTGCAGTAGTAAGTACTCCCTCCCATCCTTTCTAACTCCCCCCCCCTTCCCTCCTCAATCGTCTCCTTCCTCCTTGTCCCTCTCCCATCTCTCCCTTCCCCCCCTTGTGTGCTCCACATACCTCCTTCCCCTCCCCTCCTTGCTCCTCCCTTTTCCTCTTTTCCTCTACCTCCCTCGCCCTTCCCTCCCAGCTCACATTCCCCTTCCCCCACCGTCCTCCTCTTACATCCTCCCAGGGTAGCACGTGCAGCGGGTCGCGATTTTACGCCAACATCGTAAACCGCGAGGTGAGGAGGAGCAGGAGAAGGAGCACGAGCACGAGCACGAGCACGAGCACGAGCACGAGCACGAGCAATAGGAGGAGCAATAGAAGGAGGAACAGGACAAGGAGGATGGAAGAGGAGCAGGAGCAGGAGCAGGAGCAGGAGCAGGAGCAGGAGCAGGAGCAGGAGCAGGAGCAGGAGCAATAGGCGGAGGAACAAGACAAGAAGGAGGGTCCCCGGAGGAGCAGCAGCAGGGGAAAAACTTGAGCAACAATGATGGGAGAGAGCAGGGTAAACCTCGATCGCCCACCCGACGACATTCGTCGGAGGAATACTATTACGACGAGAAGGATATTGGAGAATTGGAGAGGTTGAAGATGAAAGGTGAGAGATGTTGTTGTCGTTGGGCGATGATGATGATGATGATGATGATGATGATAATGATGATGATGATGGTGGTGGTGGTGGTGGTGGTGGAGATGATGATGATGATGATGATGAGTATGATGATGGTAATGATGATGAGTATGAGTATGAGTATGGTGATAGTGATGATGATGATTATGATGATGATTATGATGATGATGATGATGATGATGAGTATGATGATGGTAATGATGATGAGTATGAGTATGGTGATGGTGATAGTGATGATGATGATGATGATGATGATGATGATGATGATGATGATGATGATGGAGATGATAATTATGATGACGAACATTCTCCTATTTCGTGTACAAGATGATAAACTTTGATGACGCCTTGGACAGTACGACAAAGCCAAACAACATGGGAGGAAGAGAGGAATATGTCATCGCCGACCGAGGTAGCAGAGATGACGTCTTCTCAATGCAACCTCTTCTGACATGACAATACAGGACTTGAGCATTCACAGTAACGGGTTGTTTCTTTGTTCTTCTTGCGAGCGTTCCATACATCCATACATCACATCATTCTACCTCCATGCTCCCTTCTCCTCCCCTCATCTTCCTCTCCTCCTCTCCTCGCCTCCCCTCCCCTCCCCTCCCCTCTCCTCTCCTCTCCTCTCCTCTCCTCTCCTCTCCTCTCCTCTCCTCTCCTCTCCTCTCCTCTCCCCATCGACTTCCTTAGTCATCCTTGCTCCCCTCATTGGCCGCATCGATCACCCCACCCTTCTATTCCCTTCTTCTACCCCTCTGTCATAGTCACCCCAACCAAGAATCCGTGGGGACGATGGCTACACAAGCCCTCCTGCTCCTGCTCCTGCTCCTCCCCCTTCCTCCTCCTCCTCCTCCTCCTCAAGGTCACCTTCAACATGTTTCTGTTCATACTTTCACCCTCGTCCCTCCTTCATACCATCCACTTCTCCACATCCCTCCAAACCTCTCCCTGCTCCCTGC